GTGTTCGGAGTGTGGAAGACGTTCTTCCAGGTCGAAATCGTATTTTTACTTCCTTTTCCATTAATTATTTTCTTTTCAATAAATACAGTCCACTCTCTCTTTTATATATTAATTTATAAGGATTCGTAATCCAACAATTATATTGTTTTAATTATTCAGCGCTAATTGAACAATGCTCGAATTTGTATAATCTGACGAGTAACCAGCTGTATTTTACCATCCTAACTTGATAAAGCGCTCACTCATTTCTACAGTTTCCACTACAGTATATCGAACGTATTCAAATAAAGTGCATTGGTATTCTGTAAGCGTTTTATCAACTCACTAGCTACTCGCCCCGGATTCGCCCGGATGTATATGTATTATACATATAAACCTTCCTCTTGAATCTATCTATTAAAAAAACAGCTTCAAAATCCGTTGCGTAGTTTTACAGATTTAAGTATACATAGGGACGGACAGAGAGCGACAGCGACTTTGTTTTATACTATGTAATGATGATTTCAACTATGTAATGATGATTTCAACGCTGGTCCAATTCCGGAGACAATTAAATTTCCACCGTAAAGTGACAAATTATATTTAACATTATACCAATTTTCTTTTCTTTAATATAAATATAAATAAAATTCTGTTAACATGATAATTTATTGCATTGCGTAGTTATATATCATTTTCTATTTAGTTTACTTTTTATTATATAACCTTATCTAGCTATCTAGCGTATATTGAATGCGTCTATATAATTTAGCTCTTAGGCATACATAGTGTTGGATTACAATCCAGTTCTGTACCGAACTACACGCTCCTATTATATTATTATATTGACTGTAATCTGTTTTGTATGCTAATAAATAAATAAATAAATATATTTCACTCTAGGCAATCGTATCCGTTTACAAATATATAGTTCCTACTGAGCTATCGAGTTTGCCTATATTTCTAAAAAAATCACTACAGCCTTTTTCACCTCTATCCCGCTCTCGAGAGTGTGGCGCTGCAGTCGCTGTCGAGTTTTACAGAATACCAATGTACTATCTCACAGCGGATTCCGCTTTCGAATTCGTAAGTGATGCTTACAGAATAGCTCTACATGTTTTCAGGTTTTACCAAAACAGATGAAGGGCGTGTGTAAATTGATATTTATGCATTCTGAACTGGATTACGTTGACGTTGAATAATCGAGGGTCGTTCATGAGAATATAGCACCACACCTTATTTTTTTTTATACTACGATGGTGGCAATTAAGCCTATCTGATGGTAAATGGTTACCGAAGCCTATGAACGCCTGATCAGGGGTACCACGTGCGCGTTGCCGACTTAAGAAACCTTAATATACCGTTCTTAAAAAACCCCATGCTTTATTGCACAGATAATAAACTGAGGTGGACATATCTCTAGAAGAGATCGTACAGTGTATATCAAATATATATATGAAAGATGGAGACCAAGATGACGAGCAAAAAGTAAAACGGCACCGTTGTAGTTGTAGAATATTTTTGTATTAAATTGACTTATGTATATGTTTGAAAGTTGCGCCGGTTATAGAAATGTTGCGAGGTAACAGATTGAGCTGGTATGGGCATGTTATGCGGAGGAATGAGGACCATGTCTTATGGAAAGTGTATAATATGAATGTGGATGGATGTAAAGGGAGGGGACGCCCTAAGAAAAGATGGATAGATTGTGTGAAAGATGATATGAATAAAAGAAGAGTATGTTTAGATATGACGACTGATAGAGAGCACTGCGCCGACCCCAAATAATGGGATAAAGGCAAGGCAATGATGATGATATATATAAAAACAATATAATATTATAAAAAATATAGACACTAAAAAAGGTATTTAAAATAGTTTCCAACAATATATGTGTATGTAAGAAGCACTAATAATGACTTAGGCTTTGAAGCCACTACCGGGAGGTAAACCTCAAGCAGCGCCCGTGACTTGTGACACTAATTGCAGCTTCCCCCCAGGCCCAACTAAGACCGGGATAAACCCATTTCTAATACAATTCACTTTAGTATCCAAAACACAACCGGCACGCTCTGCGCTCGTCGACTGAATGCCGCGATTCACAGAACGAAAGAGCATTATTCGACTACCGACCTCCGTATTTATAGACTGAAGTCAGTGTAGTATTGAGAGAAGGGGGTAACGGTTATCTTATGATAAACAACTTAGTTCGGTCCATAAATACTAGATGGCGCTATTTACAATATTTGTAATAATCTTAGTACTGTTTAGTACTAAAAGTACCTAATATAAAGATTATTAACTAAGTTGTTTATCATAAGATAACCGTTACCCCCTTCTCTCAATACTACCTTCTTTTAATATCTTTTTTAAATATCGGATTTTTTCTATAATATTGATGTGAACTCTAACATGTATATCAATAATATTATACAGTATATAATCCTTCCCATTCATAAAGTTTCACAGAGTAATCCATTTATCTCGGGTGATAAATATTAAGGGTAATTAAACAACGTACTCTTAATTGCTGGTCATGTCACAAATTGTGATGAATTGCCATTCACGGCGTATAATAACTGAAATGACAAACGAGTTAAGTGCTCACCTGATGGTGAGTACCATCGCCTATATGTATACATGAACATGTTACCATCTGATCCATTTAACATATATCTTTTTTCTTTTCTAATGCTTTTGCGATTTGCAGTGCGAAAGCACAGCTTATGATTGTTGATTATGGCTTATATTATACTAGCTATTCGCCCCGGGTTCGCACGGGTGTACGTGTATTATATATATATAAAACTTCCTCTTGAATCACTCTATCTATTAAAAAAAAACTGCTTCAAAATCCGTTGCGTAGTTATAAAAATTTAAGGATGACGGACAGACAGCGACAGCGACTTTGTTTTATACTATGTAACGATATTCTTTCCTATGGTTGTTTGGATCGGTCTGGGTGTTTTTTTATGTATCTTAGGTACATATATTTATAAAATTATACATTTAATTATTTATATCAGTTGTCTGGTACCCATAACACAAGTTCTGCTTAGCTTGAGACTAGATGGCGCTGTGCTTTTTGTTCAGGGATATTATTAATCCGAACATTACGTGTACAATGTCGCAGGCTTAGCTAGTCGTAAATCTATATAAATAAAATTGGAGTGTCTGTTTGTAATATTGAAGTAACCGTTTTGTACTACATGCTTATGAATATAAATACGCTACATACACCAAAATATAATTTTTTACAATTTTTGTCTGTCTATCTGTTCTTTCGGGTTAATCTCTGAAATGGCTGAACCTATTTTGACGGGACTTTTTTTGGCTAATATAATAAGGAGTAACTTAGCTACTTTTATAGAAAAGTTCTTTTATTTTAGAAAAATATAGTTAAATTCCACGCGGACGAAGTTACGGGGACGGCTAGTCTTAAATAAGAAATAAAGGCCGGAATACCACATTCTCAATATCAAAACCACATCTCAAACATTATCCTCAATAGTTGATTATTCGTAACCGACTATCAAAATAGAGAACTCATTAGCAAGATATTGCTTCAGGATAGGAAATTAATAGCTACAGAAGAGTAAATATGGACGTAATACTATACTATTATACCAAGACTATTATGAGAATATATCTTATCATTATATTTACACTAATATCTCAGTGGTCTAGTGATTTAGTACGTCGCCTTACATCTGATACTCGCTAGTTTGACTCTCGTCTTTTTTCAGACTACTCTAATGCTGTTGGCCGCAGCTGGCCTTTACAGCTTCACTGGTCCATAGGGGGCGAATCCAAATGGCACTACAAACCAAAGGACTTATGGAGCGGTTGAAGGCCAACTCCCGCCTGAAGGCAATGGGTTCGAACCTCGGTTCAGGCCGTCGTAATTTCGATCCCCGTTTGAATTGGACGGGGGATCGATCGGAGAAGTCTCTCGCGATTTATAATTCAACTTCATTTATAAGTTGGTGAGCAGAGTGTTCTCCATATTATGCGTATGTATATAAAATCTGTCTGTTTAAGTATTTATATTAGTTGTTTAGTACCCATAGTACTGGAACTCTATAGTTTGGGTCTAGATGGCGCTGTGACAATACATAACTCTGAAGGACTCTTTGTTTGAATGCGTATGAAATTGTCAGATATGTTTTTTATAAAGGTGTTTGGCCAACATATCTCTAAGTTCCTTGTAAGCCGAGCAAAACAGCATATATAAGTTTCTTGAGATATAAGATCATAAATAAATTTCTCTCTTAATAAGAATTTTTGATGAATCTTTTGGTTTATACTGTGTGTGAATATTTAAGGGTTAGATAATTGATTTATTGCCAACATAACATAAATAATACAATTTACAATAAGACACAAATTAAGAAATAAATAATAACATAGAAAGTTGGCAATAGGAGCTGCCTCAACTGTTGCTGATATAAGCACAAACTTAATGAGGTGCACCTATACAGCGCTGGTTTTCAGGCAGCCCCCATTACTCATAAAAAAACTAAGATGCGGGTTTTTTACTACATACAGATACATATAATTTAAACAAAAAAAAAAGGTTCTTGAAGAAACGCACGATGGTGGACCACCACTCATCCACGATCACGATGGTATTTTATTTTCTGAAGGGTAGTACGAGGGTCAACGTACTAGTATAATGTATAGAATTGTAAATGTTAGGGTTCACATCGATATTGTCGAAAAATCTAATATTTTATATTAAAAGAAGGTAGTTTCATTATTACTCGGTATCGTTAAACTAGTTGCATATAACCCCCACTCATATCTTCTCTGTATAAAAGGGAGGGTTTTTGTAGGCCGCGGCATTCGGTCTTTGAGCACAGGATGTGCTGGTTGTATTTTAATTGCTAAAGTGAATTGTGTTAGAGGCCTAGTTAAATTAATGTTATATAGTTGTTATTTTATTATAATACATACTTTTACTAGTACATAGAGTTGATATATCTAAATATCCGTGGAAAAAAGTTCTAGAATGTACTCACGTTCTCTTCGACGGTCTTCTTGATCTTGGCGCTGGCCTCGCTCACCTTCGCACCTGCCTTGTTCACGGCCGAGTACAGGAAGTTGCCCAGGGACTTGGCACCAGCTACAGCCTTCGTGGTCACTATAACAAGGGCAGAACATTCAAGATCGGCACCGTATGCGAATACCCGTGTTGTTTTTTTGTTAATGACAATGGAATGATGCACCCGTCTGCGCTAACGATTTACGCTGGTGGGGCACCAGGAGGATGATAGGATGAACATAAAGTCAGGTCAGTTAGGCCATTGTGATATATTCATCTGGAATTTATCACGATGGTTTCCAGGAGGAAACGCATGGAGATAAACCTAATATGGTACATTGCCAGCAATTAGATCACTAGTCCATATATACCATACCAATCATATATGTTCGCGCCTACAAAGTTCCATACAGCAATTTATTTTTTTTGGTTATTGTTTAATTATTCATAAAGGCGCTTATAAATAAAGGGTAGACAAATTATTACTTTGAAATTGAAGAGCAATGTGATTCAAACACTTTCTACTAGACAGCCATTACATTCGCATCCATCCATACAGTTATACACATTTTTATACATTCTTTAAACAAGTAAATTGTACATGAAGCAATAAATCTTATATTCAACAAAAAAAAGAGTTTCTCTATATAACCATAAGAAGCATAAGAACCATAAGAAGATTTTACCTAAATGTCGTTTGGCTAAAGTTAGTAATTCGTTTTATGGCAATTGCGTAAGGTTTTACAATAAAATACCAGAGTCTGTTATAAATCTGCCAGAAAAAAGATTTAAATGTCAAATAAAACAGTTCCTTTGCAAAAAAGCTTACTATAAAATTGAAGAATTCGTTAACGATAATAATGTTTTTATAGAAAACTTTAAATCTATAGCACTGACAATATTATCTGAATACATTAATAATGAGTGCGTAGCGACTTCTATGTTGATTATCGCATGCCTCTTACTTGTTATACTGTAATTATTTATATAAAAAAAACATCTATTAAAATGAGCAACACACAAGTTTCTTGCTCATTCTTCTTGTGATGAATCTGCATTCCGAATGAGTGATAGAATCAAAATATGACTATTCAAAAGTGCTTGTAATGAGTTTATTTGAATAAAGATTATTTCTATTTCTATAAGCTCCAGATGGCATCCTAGACAATATACAATACCATAACAATCTCCTTTCCGTGTCGCGGATGCTCATGGGCGTCAGTAAGACGCCGTCAGTGAGCCGCAAGTTCCTTTGTCTAAGTTTGACGGCCTCGGTGGTCTAGCGGTTTAGCTCACCAACTTACACCCGATGGTTGCGGGTTCGATTCCACAATCAAACATTGTATTGATGAGTATGATTGTTTGTATTGCTTACTGTTGCGGGTGGGATAATACGATGTTGCTGGTCGAGACGATGTATATTACAGATGATGATAAACTGACAATATGTACATAGAAATAATGATCTTATATACTAAATAAAAATAGGAAATTGTAAGGTGGGGTGACACAGTTTAGATACAGCAGTGCCTAGTAGACAATATTGAATTTGTCTTACTAGACATTATTAAATGCAATTATTATTTTATGTATCTAGGTGACTGTGTCCCATACTTACTAAATAACACAAATATAAGCTGTGCTTAATTTGGAACTAGATGGCGCTGTGTGTATTGTTCAGGGTAATTATAATTATGTTATCATACGCCAGTAGGACCAATTATGCGTTGTCAGTCCAGACATATCATGCACCCTGAAATTTCACTGCCTATAAACTATATCTTAAAAAGTAAGGTGTTTGCCACTAGAATAGGCGAGACAGAGTTACCTAGACAACTTTATAACATTATAAACGCACCTGGGTAAATATACACAGATGGGACGGTCAGAGTCAACACTTTATGAGTTCACATTATGGTAGGATATACATATATACGATACACATATATGTATACAATATACATATAGTTTCAAGGAAATTCAATATTCAAAATTCATTATTTGGGTAACACACTATTTACCTAATTCTGTTTTTTTGTGTCTTAATAAATAGAAATAGAAATAATATTTATTCAAATAAACTAATTATAAGCACTTCTGAATGGTCATATTTTTTTATTCTACCACTCATTCGGAACGTTAGGAACGTTCTTCTTACAATGTGTTGATAAAGCCAAATCCACTGTGGAATAGGTCTACAGCTTTAAGATTACTTTAATTTATTACCGATGTTACCATCACCGAAGAGTAAGTCGGAAGTATGTACACACAAAGTATTTTCGGTCTAGCAAATTCTAAGACACACCTGGGGATCTGGGGGTCTAGGTCGATATAGTAAAGTGCCTACATTCAATTCAGAAAAAGCTCTGACTGTTATTTTTTTTTTATTTACACTACTATTATTATAGACCTAAACTCAATACAATAGTGTATCTAATACTATATTATACATCTTCGTTAACCTACTATATAACATATAATGATGTTTTTGTGAATTCACACAGACTACCCACAAAACATTTTTAAACTATCCAACACTGTATAGAATTTTCAGCAGTTGATGAATGGCTTAACTAGTAATGAAGGGTTGAGCTCTAAAGTAAAGTATGTATAAGAAATAAATTAATAAACAAAACAGATACAGTAAGTATAAAAAATAAAATCATTAAAAAAACAAAAGAAAATACTAACATTCCTGCATGTCCGGTACCTCAATAGCATCTGTGAATAGTCTACTTTGATGACCTGGAATTTGTGGAGAAATAAAAAAATAAAATCTAGCAAACATGTAAGAAAAAATATAATAAAAATGACAAGAACTGGCAAAAAAAACGAACATCATATATAAGAAAAAATAACGTGCAATGCTATATATTGGGCTATTAGTTTCTGATATGGTTACATATATGTAATGCTATATCAATAGCTATCATATTATACTAATGGGGTTCTATGTTTTTCATGAATTAGATACAGAAATTATCTTTAATCTAATAAACTATTACAGTTATTTATTTAACTATACGGTAAATACAAAATTCAGTCCAGAAGAATACACAAGAAACTTGCCAGTTGCTCATTATCCTTTATTCCTGATTAGTTTTTTTAATTACATCTATTCAGTAGCCTTTCTATAAATTATTACCCCAAAAATTCATATCCTAAATATAGAGCAAAATATCTTATATTGGCAACACTAACCTCCAGATTTGCATATACTCAGAGTACAAAATACGAGTGATGATCATTTATTTATAATATGAAGTTTGGTATAGGGATTCTAATTTCAAATTAAATTTCTCGTGTAATTTAGATCGTTTCCAGCTATTCATGACTTTCGAGATTAAGTACAACCTCATTATTCTATTACGAGAAACTTAAGTCAAATTTCAAACTCTTCGTAACTCGCGAGATTTAGTTCAACCTGATTACATCCTATTAGGAAAGTCTGAATTCAAATATTCTAAATAAGAGCCTAAAATTGTAAACAGGACTGTGTCGAGTGGTAGCTGTAATTACTACTCTACTACCATGCAAGAAGGTGATAAATAATGGAATATAGAGACTTAAAATGCCTTACCATTGCCAACGCCCGCTGGCGGCTCCTCAGTAGGCGTGCCTCCGGTGGACGCTGGTCTGCTATCGGCCCCACCAGTTGCACTACATCACATGACACATATATCAAAACATTGGTTAAAATTTATGAAACAGTAATCAAGATTATTATGAAGGAGGTATAACTCGCCGGCGGTGTTTTCACAGAACTAATCTGCGAAACAGACGGAATGTTTCTACGCTTACTACTTGTGAAACAAGCTACGGATTTTAGTAGGGTTTGCACTATTGTTTCGAGGACTTCTTCCAGAATGTTCATGTGACAAATCGATATAAAACTCCTCCAGATATACTTTATATATTGGTGTTAAACCAAAATAGGTCACAAGTGTTAAGTAGACTCTCTTTGGATTTAGCCTCGCATTTGGGCCGTTGTGCGTGTAGAGTAGAAATTTGACTAAATTCATTAAACTATGCTAAGACTAAGCTTCTTCCTATAAATGATTTTGATGGTAAACCTAAATTATCTTAGCTTCTAAAGATAGAATAATTAAACAAACTATCATAAAGAGTTGAATTTATTCTGACTTGGATTTTGGAACGGCAAGAGCTTCCAAAATTCAAGTTAGTCGGTGACGGAGTGAGAGAGATAGTCTCAGAATTGCGCACAAAATAAATTCCAGATTGCCGTTTATATTTGAACCTACAATTAGTGCATCTTAAGAACTAGTAGTAATAGAAAGATCAACATCAATATTTATGGGTAAATTGGCAACTCTACACCGATGATGCTACACATACGTATATAAAAGCAAATAAAAATACGACAATTTCTTTTTAAGTAATTAAAATGGCAACTGACCTGGTGGAGTTTTTTATTTGGGACTACTCTAATACTCTTGGCTGCAGATGGCCTTTACAGCTTCACCGGACAATAGGGGGCAAGTGCTGATGGCACTTAAAATCCACGCAAGGACTTATGGAGCGGCTGATGGCCAACTCCTATCTGACGGATACCACTTTAGACTGAGGTCACCGCTAGGTGTTCGAACCTCGGCTCAGGCCGTTGTAATTTTGATTTTTTTAATTGGACGGGGGATAGATCGCTGAGCCGTCGTAATTTCGATCCCCATTTGAATAGAACGGAGAATCGATCGGAGCGGCTGATGGACTGATAGCTGTCGCTAATATATATGAGCAGCATCACGGACATCGTGTTATCATGTGGTGTCCTTGGTAATAAGCGTTGCCATTCCGGACGATCAAATATCTGCCTCTATACCCTGTAAGTTCACTGTAATACCTCACATCCTACAACCGATTCACATCTTATTATCAATAAAGATATTTAGATTTGATTTGAATGGCTTGGCTTGTGTTCTAATAGGTGAGATAGGGACACACGTCGTAGACGTCTCTCTAGAGTCTTTTAAATTTATGATTTGGTATGTGTGACAAAGACAGCACAATTTATAGCGTCACCGGTGTATGTTATTCCTAATTATTTATGTTAACCTGGTAGGCTGATCTTACTCTAGTACCATTAATCAAGTAATCTAATTAATACTAAAAGAGAATTTGAAAGATTTGCTTTTCTTGTCAGTTACAATAGTAAAAAACGGCGATAAAGACCTTATATAAAACGGGTATACGTACAAAGATTTCAGTCTAGCCATATGCATCAGATATTTCAAATACTATATTTTATATACACGGTAATAAATTACTTCCCTGTAACTTACCTTGAACGTGATTATGTAGATGTTACAATAGTTTTTTATTGCTTAAAATTGAATTAAGTTGGATCAGAAATACTTGTGCTGAGCTGAACTTTGATCAACAGTCTGGTTGAGTGTGACGAAAAAAAAAATGGAAAATGTATAAAACTCATTATTCCTGTGTACTCTTAAACCAAATTTCGATCAATGGAAATCGGAATGTCCATTTTGGCGTTTTTTGTCCTCTCAATAAATCGAAATAAAAAATTATAATATTATGATCCATTAGTAGTCTGATTTAATTAAATAAATAATACAATTACTAATGTAATTATTTCACGTCTACTCCAGACTTTACACAGTATACCCTTTGGGGTTTCGCCTGTCAAAGCAGAGACAAATAGACAACTATACCCGTCGTTTGTCTAACACACACAATTGTTTGTGTTCACATCAAGTGAAGACAAAGGTGTAATTATTCCTCTGTGATTGTTCAGACATGTTGTAACATGTACCTAATGCAGACCAATTAATAATTATTCGCGTGTTCAAGCAATAAAAAAAGCTATCTCAATCATTAGCGATTGATATATTGATGGATACTAAAAATACGCTTTAGTCAGGAGAATTCAAATACTACTCGTGGGTCCGCGGTTTCACCTGCGTGAAATTTATAGCCTATATGTTATTCTGATGTATAAGCTATAGTACTGTAAAGTTTCATCGAAATCCGTTCAACAGTTTTTGCGTGAAAGAGTAACAAACATCCATCCATACTCACAAACTTGCGCGTTTATAACTTTAATAAGATATATGAGTAGGATATATCTTACTATACATATATATAAGAAGGACCACCTTTCCTTTGAAACAATAAAAGAATAATCAAAATCGATTTCTTCGAAAAAAAGTTTTGCTATAACGCATAAATATAAAAAACTACTGATGCCAAAATATTGCCGCGGCTCTATAATGTTATTCTTGTCTGTTTTATAAAAACAAACCTTATCTGACGGCATCGGTGGTCAGCAGTTTAGCACATTGCTTAAGTCCAGGTGGTAGCGGGTTCGATTCCTCGCACAGCACAAGCATTTGTATTCATGAGTATGATTATTTGTATCGTATTATTGTTTGGGTATTTACAATGTATATTATGTATGTATTTATAAAAAAAATGTATCTATGTACGTATATCTGCTGTCCAGTACTCATAACACAATTTCTTATCTTGGGAATAGATGGTGCTGTGTAAGTTGTTCAGAGTCATTATTATTACATTTCAATACAATTGTTAAACATTTAAAACGACGGATATGCAATAAATATAAAATACAAAAACACAGTAGACAAAAAAATTAAAACAACAGTTTTTAATTCAATCACGAATTTAAGAGAATATATCTGATGCATGTGACTGTACCGAAAGATTGATTGAAAACATACAATAGGATGCACAACAATGATAAATAAAAAATGGGGTTTGAGCAGAATAAATGAGTTTAAAAACTCGGTGTGTGCTTCTAGAAGATTATTGAAAAAAAAAATACAGCGCTTACACACAATTAAAAATAGTTCAAACACTGGCAATACTCTGTAATTGGCAACATTATTACAAATATTAAACACTACATGTAGTTGTTAACCGGGTTTTAACACGAATAATTTTATGGTAAATAAAGGTATTTACCTTTCGACGTTTCGACTTGGACTAGCCGTGGTCACGAGCTGACTGAATCAAATATCTCAATTTTAAAAGAGGATGACTTAAAATTATCAACTCGTGAAAACCCAATCATAAATAGATTCAAAATTCAGTAGCATCAATAGTCAATAAGTGTACGAATACCGTGAGTGCTGTGTTTTGCGATTTTTCATCAATTTAATGACGGTAGTTGAACAAACTGCCGGCACCTATCAACATTGAGATCACCGTTACTCCAGTCAGCGAGTGACCACGGCTAGTGCTAGTCGTAACGTCGCGTCGTGAGAGGTAAATAACTTTATTTACCATAAAATTATTTATGTTAAAACAGTTTAATTATATTAATAATATAAATAATGAAAGTTTAACTACATGTAGATTCTGTTTGTAATTTAAACCATTGTGCGTAAGCGCCTTACGACTAACGAATTAAAAGAAAACGAATATCACTTCCTTTGCCTTAATGAAAATAGTGAGTTACATAAGTTTTTTATAATTAAATATCTAGTGAGTAATGCATGAAAAAGTGAGTGGATTTTGTTAGGTTATAGTAAAATAAGTACTTATTTAATAATCATCAAAAATGTAATTGAATAAAATAATGTATAATGAGAATTCGTGAAAAGCAAAACCCCATGCACATACAGATGAAATAATGAAAAAAAATCTGTATAATACTTTAATAAAAACTTTAAAAATTGCGTTTAGTTTTTTCATTGAGCCAACACGTTCAAAGAAAAAAAAAATATAATTAATTTGTCATTATTTGTTGGTTCGTGAAGTTTATGGAGAATTGGAGAAAATGAAGAATCTGATTCTCAGCAATCGTAAAAAAAGTGAACACAAAACCCACATAAAACCAGACGTTTCGTTATGTTAGTACTTTTTAGGCCACTTTGGTTTCGAGACACATTTACAACCAGTCTTCTTTATATGACTAGACTTTTTATATACTTTTACAATTTATTAGGGTGTTTGCAGGCGACGGACAACCAACATACATATATGTATACTAGCTGTTAGCTGCGGCTTCATACGAGTGGAATTTAACTTTTTTTATTTAAATAAATAAAATAATTGAAATTTTAAGAAGCTTAAGTTATCTTTATAGCATTAGATATCTGCGAGTGAAAGTGCCGTCAAAAACAGTTCAGAGATTAGCAAAAACAAACAGACGGACAGATAAAAAAAAATATGCCACCACATGATATTAAATTAATTTCCAAATAAAAAAAAGAAATTGACAAAATCATAATATAAAATACAGTTTAACTCGCCAAAATATTCCATTTTAATACAATTTAATCGGTGTTTGTTTTTCTGTCTGTCCTTATTCCAATAGGTACCTAAAATGTCAGATAGTATTAAAATGTATATATAATTTTCAAATAAAAAAAAATATCAGAATCAAAATAAAAAAATACAGTTGTAATTCGCCATAATATTCCATTTTAATTGGTGTTTGTTTTTCTGTCTGTTCGACATTTAAAAAGTCGGGGAACCCTATTTATCGGCCTCGAAAGCTTATCGGCCCGTTTTTTAAATTAAGCTCAGCGATTCAATGTATTTTTTATTTGTAACTAGAGACGAAACCGGAATAATAAAAAATTGTAATCTGTTTGATTTATTTTGTTTTCGAGATAATATGAAAGCTTGCAATTGGGAAAGCGATTTATAAAGGCCGGCACTAACTATCGGGACACGATTTATTTTATTAAAAAAGGATTTTATTATATTTCATAATATATTTTTTTATAACACAGGGGACAAACAAGCATGCGGCTCACCTGATGGTAAGTGATCACCGTAGCCCATGAGCACCCGCAACGCTAAGGGAATTGCAAGTATGTTGTCGGCCTTTTAAAAAGGAATAAGCTCTTTTCTAGAGAGCGAAAGAGAGCGAGAGAGAAAGTTTCAATATCGTATTGTTCGGAAACACCATTGCTGGTGATTCCACAATTACATTGTGCGTGGCAAAAAGTTTCTAGAAAACCGCACTGTGGAGGACTGCCATTCATCCAGATGATCAGGATGGTATTTTAGTTTCTGGCGGGTGGTACGGTGGTGAAACTCAGCAGCTGGTATTAATCCAGCATTAATCCATGTTTCATAATATATTTTCTATGTATATACTTTTAAACGGGTCATAATGAAATGGAGCACCTAACTGCTATAGTATCGCTGGTGCCCCAGTGGAGGATGATAAAATGAGAATGAAGTCAGATCAGTTAGCCCATCTTGGCAAATGGCAATTTACCACAATGGTTTCCAGGGGAAACTGCCTGGAAGTCAATCTAACATGGCACATTGCACATTACAGTGCTAGCAATGGCGTTATTATTCCACATGTATAATTCGCTTCCAAGAGCTGACATTGTGCTCATTCATCACCCTACTTTGTTTGCCAGACTACATCCTTAGTGCTAGCAAGTGCAACCTTCGTTTAAAGAGCGGCAATACAGACCAAAGCATTATATCAAGCAGATAAAGAAAAAATTGGAATCGTGTCGTATCAACACTTAAAGAGAATGCCGGAAGGCAGTAAGTAGCAAGAGCTCAGTCGAAAAGAGGAAATCTTAAATTATGAATGAATGAGAATTTACCGTAACACGACGAAGGAAGGGTGAGACAATGTCGTTTAAATATAGAGTAATAAGTATCTTGAGATTGTTAAAATAAGGTTTTAATTGCTTTATTGCCAATTAAAATGCCGTTCCGAACCATTGAGGCATTATGGTTTCAAGTTACTAGATAAGACATCGAACAATTGACAATCGACGTGGCGAAAAATATGATTCGATATTCAGATTTATTTATGTAGCAGACAAGGCAATAGGTTTCTTTTTGTAAAAAGCACCGATACGATAATAAATACTGTGTAAAAAATAGTATTCTCGACCGATCTCTTCTACAGATAGTAAATGAATCGTAGACAGTTTAATTTACTAAAAACTAAGGTTTATTTTATGCAGATCACTATTTTATTATAGAAATGTTTGAATAATTGCGGCCAGGTCAAGTGCGGTATACCTATTTATTTATTTATACGTCCGAAACAATTAAATTCTGTAGAATAACATACAAGGTCTAAAACAATTGTGACTTCAACAGTAAATTTTAATATATCAGCAAGCAAGTGAAGACAACTGAAGTCTTTATGGCCATCATTATATTATTAGGTGCAAGATAGGTGTCTCCCGCGGCGCACCTGAAACATAGCTAGACAGTTTCTAGGCTAGCCAATTCTCTCACCGCAATAGCAACTCAAATCATCATTATAATAATCATCGTATATCTAGTACCTTTTCATCGAATACCTCAATGTCCCTACCGTCCCGATTGTTAGAGCCGAACCTTACCATTTGTGAAGCTGTTATGATATATATGTGTATTTGTTCTTTAATTAGTATCAAGGCTGTGCAATGTTGTTTCAATTAGAAAAAAACACACCAACTGCGAAGCATAATACGCGAACTCATTTCATCTGCCCCACCCCGCGTACCTATTATACCTAGAGTTATCGTCATCGTCCTTCCCTTCTGGCTTCGGTTCCTCAACGGGTTCAACTGGCACCGGCTCAGGTTCTGGTGGTGGCGCCTCGTTTTTCCTCAGCCCAGGAATGGGGATCCCGGAACCCAACCATCCCGTCATTTGTGATTTGACGTTGGTGATGAGGTCCAGTTTACTGGCGCCTTTCGTTGGACTGCAACAAAGGGATTTTACATTAAAATACGAAATTGAATAAAATACATAGTTCAGTGTCATGGTTTTCTAGTCAACTTAACATACCAAAGTCGTGTTTTTTTTTATTATACTAATTTGGTGGCAGACAAGCATATTGTCTATCTGATGGTAAATGATTACCATAGCCTGAAACACCAGGGGTGTGATTGCATGTTGCTGACCAAAATTCGACACTGGATGCTCAGAAAACCTTACAATTAATATTTCTGACTGCCTCTCCAGTGATACAGTCCAAGCTACAGTCTGAAATTGAAATGTAACAACAGACAAAGCGGTAAATCTATTGTGATATTTCTGTGGAGAGAATTAATAGGCTTCAAGAGACAACCTTTTGTTTGAAATCCCACCAACTTATAGTCCACTGCACACCCTGAAGAGCTGTCGCCAACAGTGTTGGTCGGCAGTAGACTAGTATCTCCATGATGCTTAACTCCATTTGGCATCAAATTTGCAGTATCAGTCATGGTGTTTCAAACAGGAATATAAGCAAGAAGATTAAGCATAGGTGTCTGTATGCAATAGCTTAGGGGCTCTTCTAAACAATGTTACACCAATTTAAGTAATTTTTTTATGTTTATAAATATATAATAGTAATTCATTCTTACACAATGTGGGACTATGTCAAACTCCACTCCCCTCTCCTCTAATTATGTAATAAGTGTAACATATTTTGGTCTTAACAGTGTATCTATTTTTTTGTTAAACCCTATATCTTATTGTTATCAATATATAATATAATACAGGGTATAACTAAGCTTAAAAAATAAAATATTTTTACAATAAAAAAATACAAGTTTCACAGATCACACAACAACGCCATCTAGTCAAAAACTTGTGCATATGCTAAATAATATTTGCCATATTTATTATAATTTTGAAATTACAATTATTGAAATTATTTTTTAATATACAACTTCATTTTATTTAAATAACCACACAATTGTATCTTAGAATAAAGATATTGATTTTTTAAAAAGTGTGATAATGTACAAATGTACAAATCAACTATTTAAAAACATATATCTCTTATACAAATACAAGAATCTTAGTGAAATGAATTATATTTATTCTAACACTTATTGCAATAATATGTATGTAGAAATTTTAAATACTTCTAGTTAAATTTTAAATATTCTTTCTAGGATTTCTTTTCGTTTTCAAAAGCTTTTGTATTAGTATTATGTTTTTATGTATGCAGATGAGATTATATGCATATCTGCATCAGTGACCTATATAAGAGTCGCGCCTTAAGAATCAATACCAAGTTTCATAACAATGTGAAATCTAAATCTTAGTTTATATTCATAGAAAAGCACATAAACATTATTTTTACATTACAATTTCAACAGAAATGTTTAATGTTGCTATCCTTTTCCTATATGTACAGAAATTTTTACAATATATCTATATTACATACACAAGAAAAATGTAAACAAAGAATCAATAACCGAGTACCTTTGTCTTTCACCTTCCGCCGAGGCTTCTCCGGTCGCGTCTTTGGTTGGGGTGGGGACCTCCTCATCCTGAGGCTCGCCCTTCGCGGCCCCCATCCACGAGCTGACCTGATTCGTAAGCCCTGAAAACATTATCACTGACACTAGCTAAATCAACACACAGCACAATCACTCAGCGATTTCACAACGCTGCGACAGTTTCGCACATGACACACGACGCGGACAGTCTGCGATGCGGCTACGGAAAGCGTGATCAGCTGAAAAACTAAATGCAAAACCAGAATCGACCAGGAAACTGAAGAGTTCACTGCGCATGAAAACTTGCGCTCATGCGTTATTTGCTTCGATAGATGTAGTATTTTCATCAGTTCAGGTAGTATAACAGCCAAATATGTACTTTATCGCAAAGTAATAAGACTGGTTTTTGTTCGTGAGGGCAAACGTCAGAACGACATTACGTCCAGCTGTCAAATTCGTTTAGTTACTTCAGAATTTAATATCAAACATTACTAAGACTAATACTTCATGAAACGAATATTTTTGAAGTTTGGTTGATAGATTTTTATGGAAAACGTTAGAGTTGGAGGTATAATCGTTTAATACACAATAACAAATAATCTATCTATATTTTGTGTATAATTGGAAGCAACCAGTTTAAACAAATAATAGAATATGTACTTTAATTGTTCACATAATATTGTTCTCGTTTTTTATAAATAAAAAAATAGGAATATGATAATGAATTAAGGAAATGTGAACCAGTATTGTATGTTTTTTATGCACATATCCCATCACTATTGGAATTAAAAAAATATTTATAGTGTTGCCAATTTAATACTACTCTTTACGGTTCTTCATGAATAAATAAATGGCGCAATGAATTAGACGAATAGGAAAAGGGCATTTAGCTTCAAATTATTCAGATTTGTGGAAATTAAAAAAAGAGCAATTATTTCTTAAAAAGATTTAAATCCTATAGGCAATTATGTTGTATAATATGGTTTTGTACATATCTTTACAAAAATGTTTTATTTTTTTTAAAACTACACATGCTAAATAGTGAATAATTAAACGTATGATATACCTTGATTTTCAAATTAAGACCGATCTTAGAGATTGTTTATATGATTAGCTTGAAAAACTTACATTGAGTGGGCAACATTCAATATGTCATTTTTCGTTGAATAGAATTTGCTTGCTGAATTATTTGTTTCTTCTGAATTTTGCTATACTCCTATTGTTTAATATTTAACAAAACAAATGTAGTGATAAGTAGTCTGTGAAACTTATTACGGTATTCTTAATTTCACCGTCTATATAAAAAGGCGTAATATTTACCAATATGACGGATACACATAGACAACTTCGCCTTGGAAAATGCATTGAGGATTTGGACAAATTGCACAATGTACCTGAACTTAAGACGAAAAGAGCCAAGATGTAAGTGGAGCACAGTTTATTATGTATATATAATTTATGACGACTTTAATTATATATAAGTCACCAAATCCACATATAAGTAGCACAATTTGGCTTTGAGTATCACTATTTGAATGCTTTATTCAAATTTGTTAAATCTGATACATGTCACACAAATAATACATACTTACTTATTTATTTGAAAAGTATTGTAATAATGTCGATAATTATCGTAGAAGACATCCAAATGACCTGATATTGCCTATAATGTTAACGGACCTATATAGAAGAAGATGTTATCCAAAGGCTATTCCGATATACAACAAATTAAATAAAGGAATTGCCATAGACACATTTAAAATACAATTATTTAATTTATTACTTGACAAATGTTACTATACAATAAGTGATTATATAAACAATGTTGAACTATGATTATTAGAAAACATAATATATTGACAATACGAACTTGACATAATTTTAACATTTGTAATTAATATATAACAGTATTATAAAAATAAATTTTATTACTTTTATAATAATAATAAATTATACATTTATTACTATTGTAATTTTATTATTATTATTATTATTTTTACTCTCGACTTTCGCTGGTAATCTTGGTATGTACGAGCCTAAGCTAAATTATATTAATTATTATTATTATATGTAACTTTAATTAAATTGTATAAAAAATAGTAATATATTAAGTCTAATATGTATTTGTATGTCCGTAAAGACTAAAAGTGAGAGCTATATAACATAAATAACCATACCATCAAATAAATAAATTTTATTTTATTTCATTTCATTTAATTTCATTTCAATAATATAATTACACTAAATTAATATTATAAAAAAGAAATGTTTAAGATTGTCCCTCAGTAAACAATGTAGTCAAAAATACTTGATTGATTTTATGAATTCTTTGACCTGTAGAAAGGATTTTATTTAAAACAAAATGGAAATTTCAATACTAATTTCACTTAAATGAAATTCGGATGGTTTGCTAGTTGAGTATAAATTAATTAAAATATAATAGTGAAATTTTATCTATACATACATATAAAAAAATTGGAGTGTCTGTTTGTAATATCAAAATAACCATTTTTTTAGTACATACTTATGAATGTAAATATGGTACACACACCAAAATAACATTTTTTACAATTTTTGTCTGTCTATCTGTTTGTTCCGCTAATCTCTGAAATGGCTGGACCGATTTTGATATT